AATGAAACAATTTTCTGAGTGAGTCCTGGAGGCTCCCCGGAGCTATCCAGGCAGACAAGGATATCCCTAACTTTGGCATCAGTCAATGTGGATGGAGTTCTAGGCCTACTGGGGACAACAAGCCAGAACTTGGCCCCCTCAGAGAGGTACGAGGAGTAATGGCCTAAAGAAATGCACATGTGATTTTGGAGCATTCTATATCTGCCATCGATCGAGACCGGCACCCAGAAAAGTAAGCGCCCCAAAACAAACCCCTATTCTTGTTAAAATGACGAAAATAGACATACGAGTGGACAGAACTCCCCAATTGAAAATGAGCAAATGAGCATGACGTCACACGAGCCGCGCCGCATGTCTGCGCAGCTCCCCGGAAGGAAGAAGGGTGAAGCCACAGAACCCCATGCTAGCGATCCACACCCCAGTTCAGAGGCTGGATATCAAATACGTAAAAAAAACACCAACAGGGAGGGAGGGAGGGTTGCCGGACAGCCTTCGGGACTCACCCAGAAAATGGAGTTTCATTACAATCAAAGCTGGTTTTCTGGGGATGGGGGGAGCCCCAAAAGCTCCCCGGAACTACTTCACCAAAGACGAAAAAGAAAGGGGACCTACCAGGGAGGCGGTCGGTGCTCACATCTTAACTCAAAGACAAGACAGGTTCCATCCACCGACTCAAAGTGACACAGGCCCGACTAGGCCTAGGAACGTTAATGAGGTAGCATGCAGCCAGGACCTTGTTCGACCGCCAAAAACCCCGTACCCAAATGTCAGCCCAGAATATGTTACCAAAGACAGCAACAAGAGCAACAAACTTACGAATGTCATGGGCACGGGGATAGACCGCAGGCTGGCTAGACTTAATAACCCTGTGGATAGATCCGTACCCACGAACAGGGAAGAAGGGAAACCGGATTAACTCAAAGCGTGTCCCCAGACACAGAAGCTGTGTCGTGCAAATAACGGCGAAGGGCCGCAACCGGACACAACACATGATGCACTTCCAGCCTAACCAACCAAGCATCAGTAACCCAAGGACCCCTCAGGAAAACAGCAGTCTCATTCTTCACCAGAAAGGAAGGAGACAGCTACAAATGAACAAACCTATCACCACGACCAAAGGAACAGAAACCCCTGTGGCGGAGAAGAGCATGAAGCTCCGCAACCTGACCCACCAGAGACTAATGCCAACCATAAAAGAGCCTTAGACAAAGCACGAGACAGCTTGCGAAATTGCGCAGAAGTAGCGTCTATACTGAAAGCAAGCTGCAATGGCTCAGCTAGCGCTGCACGATACGAGGCGACAGTATTCGGCATAAGATGACAGTCTTGGAAAACCACGAGGGAAAGGACAACACAACCCAAACCGAAAGCGAAGTACAACGACGAAGAGTCAAAAAGAAATGGAAGGACCGCCAGGAAACTTCATACTGCTGACAAGACGATGCCCGCAGGTGGGAACCATCAATGAAGCCACCTGATTGTGATAAATCCGAGACAAAAATACCAAACGTGAAGACTCAAGGAGAACAGCGAACCAGTCTCATATTGGACTGGTCCGATCTGTTGAAAGAGGCGGAGCCAGAAAAAAACCTCCGGGTTCGGACACTGGGCAAGCAGCGCCTAAAACCATGGCTGGGCCGGCCACCACGGGGCCAAGAGGACCACTCACTCCTGGAAGTCTCCAAGCGAGCTAGGACTTGGAGCAACAGCTGAACCGGGGGAAAGAGGTATAGGAACCCCCACCTCGACCAGTCCTGCCTGAAGGGGTCTACCCCGACGGTCATGCAGGCGGGAGAAGGACGCCACGTATACTGGGAGACGCCTCGACCATGCAGACGCGATAAGGTCCACCTCCGGCTGCCCGAACATCGAGCAGAGCCAACTGAAAGAGTTGGCATCGACCGTCCATTCTGTGGATAGGGGAATGTACCGGGACAGGCCATCCACCAGGACATTGGACAACCCCTGGACGTGAACGGCCAGGAAAGATAAACCTTGAGAACTCAGCAGACTAGTCACCCGAAGCGACCAGCCCCAAAGAGCCAAGGACTGCATCAAATCCCCAAGGTTCAGGCAATGAACCACTGGGGAGCAGTTCGAATGGAGCCAGATCGTCGATCCGCGGGCAGCCCGAACACTCTAAAGCACAAACCACACCGCCTCGAACTCCTGCACCGTGCTGTGGGCCCGACGGAAAGACAGACCCTATCGCCCCTGGCCGGCCTGGTGAGCACTGGTCACAAAGCCCAAGCCGAGAGACAATGTGTCCGTGAACACATCGAGCGAGGGCTCAGGTAAACGCCAAGGCACTGAACCCAGAAAAACCCGAAAAGGAAGCCGGCGAGGCAGCAGCTGATGTAAGGCTCCCGGGGGTTGAACCAGACGCCGGACCTGGGACAGAGTGGTCATCCGAAAGGATGGGCAAGAAACCCAGGGGTTCAGATGGGACAAGTCCAGAATGAACTGCAGGTCCGCACAAACCCGTTTCAGAACTGGAAACAGGCGAGAAACCCACCTGAGAGATGTCGTCATTTCAACCACGTCCAAGCACGACCTGACAGAGTGCAGAAGACGAGGCCTGCAATGCCAGCCTTGATCCCCCCCCCCCCCCCCCCGAAGGAAGAGGAGCCACTCAACGCCACCACAGGCCACGCGAAACAACCTGAAAAGCCCACGAATTGTGAGACCAGGCGTGAGCGAACAGAGCAAGCCTCCCCCCCTCCATTGCCCCTCAATGGGGCGAACCACGAAAGGGTTGATGTCCCTTACCCAACTGCTCATAGAGCAATCACCGCGCCGACCAGGCGCACCCGGGACCGAAGGCAGCACCGACTCCAAAACTGACACCCGTGTCCTACCCTGACGAGTGGAATTGCGAGCCCTGGCATGACCCGTCCAGGAAGAACCCACCCAGAACCCCGGAGAACCAACAAGTCAGACATCGGGCGGCAGCTGGAAGAAGCCACCCATATATTCTGCTCAACCACAGAGGCGGCAAACAACAAAGGACAAAAGGGTGAAGCCAACCTAATAGTCAGGGCCCAAATGGATTTCAAGAAGAAAGCGAGAACCACCTGTTGACACGCGAGACGCACAGTGAAAAACCTCGACAGCGCATCCCACAGGATCGGCGCAAACAGCTTCAAAAGCGCAGGCATCGCACGAGTAGCCGAGACCAAGGCGCCAGAACTAGGAATGGCCCCAAGCACCTCCACAGCCTCCTCAAGCCAATCCGAAGACAGCTCCAGGATGGAAAAAAATGCAAGACTGAAGCCACGTGGCACGGCCTACGTGCACTAGCGTGCACGTAGGCCATGTGCGCACAAGTCCTCAGCCAAAAGCTAGAATATGCAGCGGTTGTGTGGTGCCCATATCTTAAGAAGCACATCAACAAACTGGAAAAGGTGCAAAGACATGCTACTAAGTGGCTTCCAGAACTGAAGGGCAAGAGCTACGAAGAGAGCTTAGAGGCATTAAATATGCCAAAACTGGAAGACAGAAGAAAAAGAGGTGATATGATCACTACATACAAAATAATAACAGGAATTGATAAAATTGATAGGGAAGATTTCCTGAGACCTGGAACTTTAAGAACAAGAGGTCATAGATATAAACTAGCTAAACACAGATGCCGAAGAAATATAAGAAAATTCACTTTCGCAAATAGAGTGGTAGACGGTTGGAACAAGTTAGGTGAGAAGGTGGTGGAGGCCAAGATCGTCAGTAGTTTCAAAGCGTTATATGACAAAGAGTGCTGGGAAGACGGGACACCACGAGCGTAGCTCTCATCCTGTAACTACACTTAGGTAATTACACTTAGGTAATTACAAGTGCAGCCGCCAGCGAAGGAACCTGCACATGAAGCTGAACCGCGCCAACATCCCATAGAATGGCCGGAACAAAAAGGAAGGAAAGCCATTAGAAAGAAAGCTTGGAGGAAACCCCCCAACACATTCGGGGAGGTCAATCGCCAAACAGCAAAAGACCAACAGAGGTAGACCCAAGGTGACTTGTGGAAGTAAACCCCAAACCCCAGGGCAGGGCACTGCCCTGGGGTTTGGGGTTACTTACTACTGCTCTGCTACTTACTTACTACTTACTACTGCTTACTACTTACTCTGCTACTTACAGGGCACTCAGGGAAGGTGATCCTAAGCACAAGCACCCCCGATTACCTGTGACTGTTACTTCCAGCTCGCACACTACCGTAAGAGCAGTACTGAAACAGAGAACAGCACAGCAAAGAGTCTGAAGCTGGAGCCACATGACCTTGCCATATCCCATCAGCCGAAGAATTGCAGGGTGGATTGCCGGCGCGGGGGCCTGGGGCTTCCCCTTCCCCCTCCCAGGGAGGGGGGAAGCTGCATAGACATGCGGCGTGGCTTGTGTGACGTCATGCTCGGTTTCAATTGCGGAGTTCTGTCCACTAGTTTATCTATTTTCGTCGTTTTAACCAGAATAGGGGTTTGTTTTGGGGTGCTTACCTTTCTGCGAACCTGTCCCGGTCGATGGTAGATATAAAATGCTCCAAAATCACACGTGCATTTCTATAGGCCATTGCTCCTCGTGCCTCTCTGAGGGGGGGCCAGGTTCTGGCTCGTGGTCCCCGGTAGGCATAGAACTCCACCCACATTGACTGATGCCAAAGTTAGGGATATTCTTATCAGTCTGGATAGCTCTGGGGAGCCCTAGGGGCTCTGCCCAAAAACATTTCCAGATTGACACATTACAAATTTCTGCCAGGAAGTCTGAGTCTTGTCCAGCATATAGTTGATAAATTTAATGTAGCACACAACTTGGGAAGCTGGATATTGAGTTACCATTAACTCACCTCACATGAAAGGGATGGGGTAAATAAAGCACAGTTATTGTACTCAAACAAGGAACCTTCTCCATGAAACACATTCAAGCATTGCTAACAGTACCAAGGCAGCACATTCTCCATGCTTATTTTAATGTTGTAAACTACTTAATGTTTATTTTGCTTTAAACACACTTACCAGTAATAGTTTCAACTGAATCACAAAAACACGAATGCAGGGCTCCAGGCAGGCCTTACGTTTCCGCTGGTACTGGCTAGCTGTGTTTTTCAAAACCTGTCAAAAAATTCACAAGATACTATAGAAAATCAAACAAAAGTTATCAATCATCATCATCATCATCAAAACCATTAAGCAATTACCATTTTGACAGCAAGAGGAACCCCTACCCAGAAATAAATGGAAGAGCAATGCTATTAACAAATCTATAGATATTTCCACACTAACCACCATCACACAGACTCAGCACCATCACACTTCAGCAAAACATCCTTAGTAGTATCACACTTCAGCAAAACATCCTCAGTAATATCACACTTCAGCCAAACATCCTCAGTAGTATCACACTTCAACAAAACATCCTTAGTAGTATCACACTTCAGCAAAACATTCTCAGTAATATCACACTTCAGCCAAACATCCTCAGTAGTATCACACTTCAACAAAACATCCTTAGTAGTATCACACTTCAGCAAAACTTCCTCACTAGTATCAAACTTCAGCAAAATATTCTCATTGGTATCACACTTCAGCGAAACATCCTCAGTAGTATCACACTTCATATTCATATCAAATAGATGATGATACATGTATTTTAAATGAGGTCATATTCCCAAGGGGCTACTTAGTCTGGAGACGGGACAGAAAAATTAGGAAAGGCGGTGGCGTTGCTGTGTTGGTGAAAGAACACATAACGGTAAATGAATAATGATTGCCAATCCACGAGAAGTTGACGTAATAGCACTAGAGATCTGCAATCAGGATGATAAACTAACGATCATAAATGCATATAGTACACCGCCATGCAACACATGGTCAAAGGAGGAACTGGATAATAAATGTGAGGGGATTATAACAATAATGAGAGAGATTATAGCGAGAGCTGATAAAGATGGATCACGACTGTTGGTAGTCGGTGATTTCAACTTGAAATCCATAGACTGGGAGGCATATGAAGCTAGTACAGAGGGTTTTTGGACTTGTAAATTCGTAAACCTCATCCTGGAAACATTCATGTTTCAACATGTTAAACAAGCTATGAGGATGAGGGAAGAGAATGTTCCCTCCATGCTGGATTTGATATTTACCAGGAAAGATGAAGGGATATTTGACATTCAGTACCTCCTTCCCTTAGGTAAAAGTGACCATGTCTTTTTGGGAATAAGGTATGCAATGCATTATAATCTGGAAGAAAATAAGATTGAAGCAGTTGAAAAGCCTGATTTCAGGAGAGGTCATTATTGGGTACTCAGACTTCTTTAAGGAATTTGACTGGAAAGACTTGCTGTTAGGACATGAAGTAAATGAGATTTATGTCAAGTTTTGTGAAATATATGATAAAGGCACAACAAAATTTATACCAAAGCAGAGATGCAGAACTAGGAAACAGGATTGGTTCATCAGAAATTGCGAGAGGGCCAGAGACCAAAAGACACAAAATGGATCAATTACACAGCAGTGAGGAGAGAGGCAGAAAGAAATTTTGAAAAAGGGATTGTGGACAAATGCAAAACAGAGCCAGGTCTATTCTATAAATTCATAAACAACAAATTGCAGGTAAAGGATAATATTCAGAGGTTGAAAATGGAAAATAGATTCTCAGAAAATAAAAAGGAAATGCATGAAACATTAAACAAAAAGTTCCAAAGTGTGTTTGTACAAAATGAAATCTTCAGGGAACCAGACACAATAAGAATTCCAGAAAACAACATAGAACACATAGAGGTGTCTAGAGACAAAGTGGAAAAAATGCTCAAGGAGCTAAGTAAGAACAAAGCAGTTGATCCAGATGGAGTTTCACTATGGGTTCTGAGAGAATGTGCATCTGAGCTCAGCATTCCACTTCAACTGATTTTTCAGGCATCCCTGTGTACAGGAGTTGTAGCTGATGTGTGGAAAAAGGCTAACATAGTTCCAATCTACAAAAGTGGCAGCAGGGAAGACCCCCTCATTATAGACCTGTATCACTGATAAGTGTAATAGTCAAAATATTGCAAAAAATAATTAAAACTAAATGGGTAGAACACCTGGAGGAAAACGACATAATATCAGACAGACAGTATGGTTTTCGATCTGGAAGATCCTGTGTAACGAATTTTCTCAGTTTCTAGGATCGAACCACGGAGATTTTACAGGAAAGAGATGGTTGGGTTGACTGCATCTATCTGGATCTAAAAAAGGCTTTTGACTGAGTTCCACATAAGAGGTTGTTCTGGAAACTGGAACATACTGGAGGGGTGACAGGTAAGCTTCTAACATGGATGAAAAATTTCCTAACTGATAGAAAAATGAGGGCCATAATCAGAGGCAATGTATCGGATTGGTGGAATGTCACAAGTGGAATACCACAGGGTTCAGTTTTTGCACCGGTAATGTTCATTGTCTACATAAACGATCTACCAGATGGAATACAGAATTATATGAACATGTTTGCTGATGATGCTATGATAATAGGGAAGATAAGAAACTTAGATGATTTTCATGCCCTTCAAGAAGACCTGGATAGAATAAGTATATGGAGCACCATTTGGCAAATGGAATTTAATGTGAATAAATGCCATGTTATGAATGTGGAATAGGAGACCATAGACCCCACACAATCTATAAATTATGTGAGAAATATTTAGAGAAGTCTGATAAAGAAAGAGATATAGGGGTGGTGCTAGACAGAAAACTATCACCCGAGGACTAAATTAAGAACATTGTGCAAGGAGCCTATGCTACACTTTCTAACTTCAGAATTGCTTTTAAATACATGGATGGAGAAATACTAAAGAAATTGTTCATGACTTAAGCTAGACCAAAGCAAGAACATGCAGCGGTTATATGGTGCCCATGTCTCAAGAAGCACATCAACAAACTGGAAAAGGTGCAAAAACCTGCCACTAAGTGGCTCCCAGAACTGAAGGACAAGAGCTACGAGGAGAGGTTAGAGGCATTAAATATGCAAAAACTAGAAGATAAAAGAAAAAGAGGAGATATGATCACTATGTACAAAATAGTAGCAGGAATCGATAAAATTGATAGGGAAGAATTCCCGAGACCTGGAACTTCAAGAACAAGAGGTCGTAGATTTAAGTTAACGAAACAAAGCTGCCGGAGAAATATAAGAAAATTCACTTTTGTAAACAGAGTGGTAGACGGTTGGAACAAGTTAGGTGAGAAAGTGGTGGAGGCCAAAACCATCAGTAATTTCAAAGCGTTATATGACAAAGAGTGCTGGGAAGACGGGACACCACGAGCATAGCTTTCATCCTATAACTACACTTAGGTAATTGCTTCAGCAAAATATCCTCAGAGGTATCACACTTCAGCAAAACATCCTCAGTAGTATCACACTTCAGCCAAACATCCTTAGCATCACACTGCAGCCAAACATTCTCAGTAGTATCACACTGCAGCCAAACATCCTTAGCATCACACTGCAGCCAAACATCCTCAGTAGTATCACACTGCAGCCAAACATCCTCAGAAGTATCACACTTCAGCAAAACATCCTTAGCATCACACTGCAGCCAAACATTCTCAGAGGTATCACACTGCAGCAAAACATCCTCAGTAGTATCACACTTCAGCCAAACATCCTTAGCATCACACTGCAGCCAAACATCCTCAGAAGTATCACACTTCAGCAAAACATCCTTAGCATCACACTGCAGCCAAACATCCTCAGAAGTATCACACTTCAGCAAAACATCCTTAGCATCACACTGCAGCCAAACATCCTCAGAAGTATCACACTTCAGCAAAATATTCTCAGTGGTATCACTTTAATTCATAATAATTAGACAGAGTCCTTTCCATGATTTGTTTTTGACAAACTCTCTTAACTAGTTCCAGTACAATTTGTGATGTAACGTTTCTATTGTTACGTAAAGTATGGTGACAATAAACACAGACACTAAGAGAATATATATATTTGGTCGAGTATACAGAAGTATGCAGGTGATACTTTGGTGATCAATGGTGTCAGTGAATTTTGGCCATTTTATCACTAAAACTTTAAATTATTCTACAAATATCTCTATTTTCTATAAGAACAACTACATCAACTGGATACATTTCATATGATTAAGTGCCTGACAAATTTGTCAAATCACTGTACAGTATACAAGGCTCTACCCAGTTTAGAATACTGTGCATGGAAATTTGAATTATCCAGAAGTCATGGACCTTCATTTGTTGCTTATTATTTTTTAAATAAATGTGCTACGCCAACTGAGAAATCTCGTTTGGTGGGAAACTGCGCCAACCGAAAAAACACCCTTTGAATGTTTCGTACTCATTCAAAACGCATGCGCAGTAGGTTGTGTACAAAATGGACTCTTGGGACGTTCAGTGAGAGGCAGCCATCTTGGAAAAAAATCCCAGAATGTCCTAGGGTTGCTGACTGGGTTAGTACTGAGTAAGCAACCATGGAAAAACATCACACGTGCCTCTGGCTCCCAAACATCTCTCTGACATGGCGTTGAAAGATCGCTCTCTGTCAATGAAATTCAGACCTTATTGTTTGAAGAACTTAAAGGTCATGAAATTGATCAAGCTAGGTGTAATAAGGACCTAACACAAAAATTGGATGCAAATGTCTGTGGCTCTGAGCATCATTTTTGCCATCTTCAATTTTTATAGACGATACATGAAAGAATTATTTTTTGGGTTCAGTGATGATGCATCTGATGAAAGTAGCTTAGATGAACAGTGTTAGTACAGCTTCCATGGTGGTGTTTTCCATAGATATTTTCAAGAATAGCTGAATGTCTTCCAGAATGACTGAATCTCTTCCTGGTTGGCTGAATCTCTTCCAGTGAGGGACCTTACAAAGCGATCTTTTCAAGACTACCTTACAAATTGATCTTTTCCTACAATCTTTTCAAGACTACCTTATACTTTACAAGCTTGGCTACATACCACCTACAGGTACTAAAGCTAAGGATGTATATGAGTCCGTTATTTGCTAGCACAAAACAAAGAAACAGGAAAGCGAAACTCTATCTGTACCTGGTGCAATGAGAGCGAAGTTGCACTGTGTACCATGGACTACTTCGTTGATTATTACT